CTCTTTCTCAGAAATGTTTGTGTTGCTTCAAACTACTTTTTACTGTGTTTCACACAAAAAGTCTTTTTTTTCTGTCCCTTTTACCAAATAAGAAAGGGCAGTCCCTTACAAATGTAAATGAAGAAAACATTAAAATGAACTGCTTCCTTTTTCAGACGAGGAAAGAGAAGTTGAGAAAGATAAAGTGATGTTGCCAGCATTGTACTAGGTCCCAGGCAGTAGAGATTGGAACAAAAATCCTTCAGTGCCAAACAGAGCACTTTTCCCAATGTACAACACTAATAAGGATGAAAAAGCCCAATATTTTTATTCATTCTTTTATTAGTGGTTTGAAATTTACTGCATTACTTTATTTGTACATAGGTGGGTATAGTGAATAGAGCACTGGGCCTGGAATCAGAAAAGGCCTTAGTTTTAAAGTAGCCTCAGAAACTTGCTAGCTGTGTGACTCTGGGCAAGTCACTTAACCGTTGTCTGCCTTGTTTTCTTTAACTATCAAACAGAGATAATAACAACTACCTCATGGGGTTGTTGTGAATATCAAATAAGATCATTATAAACCGCCCAGCACATACTAGGTGCTTAATAGGTGCTTATTCCCAAAAGATAATAAAAAGATCATTGATTTCATATCATATCAATAGTGATTCCATGGCCACCCTTGTATGATATAAGCTGACTTTTGATCCAAACTACCCCAATTTGATGAAGAAAACAAAACAATAATGCTAACAATAACTGTAATTTTATAGCACTTTGAGGTTTGCAAGGCACTTTTCATATGTTATGTTACTTGATCCTCACAGCAACCCAGTAGAGAGGTGTTATTATAATCCCATTTCACATGAAAGAAATTAGGTAACGTATCCAAAGTCATACAGATAATGAATGCCGGACACAGCATTTGAACTCAGGTTCAAGTCTAGTGCTTTATCCATTGGACAACCTTGTAATATGAGCTTCTTGTGGCCAAATATCATGTTTTTAACTTTCCTTTATATCCTCAGCACATAGACTAGTGTCTAACAGATAGTAAGAGTTTAATAAAATTAATTTACTATTTCTACTTAGGAGAGTGGTTCTGAACTTATGCAAGATTTTATTCCCTTTTTTAATGTCAAAAAACTTTTATAGAATCCCACATTATAGTAATTTCCTATTAGCATCTAAGAAAATAAAGGATAACAAGAAGTTATTTATCCTGAATTCAGTAACAATTTTAAATGAATTTGTTTTTTTTTCTTATGAGACACAAATTAAGCATCAGTAGTCTAAAACTGCCAAAATAAAATTCATTATTCTTAAACATAATTTAATGAAGCTAAATAAAGACCAAACTGGGCAGTTCAGTGGTGCAGTGAACAGAGTGCTGGGCCTGAAATCAGGAGGACTTATCTTCCTGGGTTCACATCTGGTTTCAGACACTTCCCACCCCAACTCACCAATGGGTTTGAGGTCCATCAGTTAGTTACCTTCAATCTGGGTTAGCCAATCCATCCAGACTGTTTACTAGGTTGTGGCCACTGTGCATGCCACAGCTTCTTGGAGCCACAGGTGAGAATTGAGTGTCAAGTAGACATCAAAGGTAGATGAGCAGTCCTGAAAAGGGCTCAGCAAGCCCTCACACCAGAGGTGCTAGTCCTGCTTGAACACTCCATTTACCCCATGTGTATATGTATGTAGGCATATAAATATAAATTCACACACACAGTATCTTTTTATTTCAATTCTCTTAATTGTAGCATTTTTACCCATTGAAATTTTTAACTAATAAAATAGATTGATGTCAACTTCCTTTGGTCCTCAACAGAACCAGAACTGACCTGATTACTCTATCTAGTCTTGCTTAATCCTTCTTAAGAATAAAGGGTAGATAAATATTAACATGGTAATGTACAGCTTAAAGGATACGATTATAGGAATTGCATTCTATTGACAAGTTTAAACTATACTAGTTGTACATTAAGAAGCAACAATGCACTCATGTATTAAAAACCATTAGGTTCATAATTTTTCTTAATTACATTTTTACTTTTTGCTATTCTAAATCTGACAAGCATCAATAAATATGAACATTTCCATATACAAAGAACAGAAAAAAGAGTTGCATATGAAATTGTGAATTATTCATGTACTTTTTGGATTTTTTAAAGTCTATTGAGTACTTAATTACAAATTAATTCATTACAAAGCTACATGCAAATTATATTTAATTATAAAGCTGCCCTGCTAGTTTGTTTCTCCTCTTAAACTATCTTTGCTTCTCTTTTGTGCATTTAAATGCTTCATTGATGTGCTTTCCTTTTTATTTTTTCATCACTCTCTTATCCTTCCAATTCTCTAGCAAATAAATAATCAAATGAATAAATAACCAAATATTCTCCCTAGAAAATATCAGCATAGTCAAGCAAAATAAACCTATAAATTCCTCCATGTACAAAAAAAAAATTCACAGATTTTTAGAATAGGAGTGGATCCTAAAGGCCATTTAGTCTAACTCTCAATTTTTTTTTTCTCCAGAGCATATTTCTCCAAAGCATGTTTCTCTTTTGGCTAGCAACCCTGAAGGTCTTCCCCTCCCAGTTTGATTATGATTAAAGGGGCCATCCCTTGACTCACTTCTTAAAGAAGACTATTCACTGAATGGGTGTTGTTGCCTTACTCAAAGAGAGAAACTGAAAAGACCTTAACTTAAAAGAGCCAAGGTCTCCCATTGCATCTTGGGCCGTCTCCAGAGGTCCTGATGAATATCTGGCCATTGTACCCAGATGACTGTGAAGGAGAAAGTGAGGTTGGTGACCTTGCACAGCCCTCCCTCACTCAAATTAAAGTCAAATACAAGTCATGTTATCACCTCCCTGATATCATGGTCCTCTTCGAGAATGAAGGACAAACACAACAACCACCTAATTTTATGGATGGAAAAAAAATGAGGCTCACAAGGTTGTAAGTCATCTGTCCATTATTAACTAACTAGTAAGTAGGAGAGTCAAGATTTAGTCCCAAATCTTCACTTTCCAAATCTAGCACTCTTTCTTTTATACTGCATTGCCTCTCAATTACTCTAAGTATATCTGTAGATAGAAGCAGACAACCTTTATGGTCCCATAGAGTTTTAAAACTATTATTTCATGAATTATAAAAGATCACATACTTTTTTTCCATTAACAAGAATAGAGGAGCTCCCTAAGAAACACATTTAACTACATTTGTCTCCTGGTAAATTTAAGAATTAATAATCATTATTGTTGAAATTATATTTGAAAGAAATATAATTGGAGAAGTATGGGTGGAACCACTGAGGAATTAACATTACTACTGAGCTTCTAGTGTTTTACTTGCCTTTGTTACCCAAGGCTAAATTCAGTCATAATAAGATCTTTTTATCCTTGGGCCCTTGCTGAATGAGTCAAGGTAAAAATAGTCAAGTTTGGAACATGCTTAACTCTTCATAAATTTTGCCAATTGACGAGTGTATTTTGCCCATGCCTTGGAGACAGGTATCTACAGGCATTGTGAGCTCAGAAGACAATGAGATAGCATTTATAGACAGACTTTTTAGCTCTAAAGTATAAGGTTAGATATAGATATACACACACACATATACACATATACATATACATACATATATACATACACACATATACATATATGTATACATGTATAGGTATATGTGTATGTATAGATAGATAAAACATCTATTTAATAAAAGCACATAAAAGTATATCCTAGGTAAAGTAGGGAGGCCCATTATTTCCTTGTCAGCTTTGACTATCATATTTGTACTCCTTATCTTTTTTCCCTGAAGCTGATAGAGACATATATTCAAGCATTTTGCCTGTCTTGAAAATGTTTTCTCAGATATTTCTAGAATTACAGAACCCAAGAATTTGGGAGAACTTGTAGTTTATTCTCTTCATTTTATTATGGACACTTTAAAGGTAATAGAAACCAAGCTCTTCTCTCTGTCTGCCTCTGTCTATCTCTGTCTCTATCTGTCTATTTCTGCCTGTCTCTCTCTGTCGCTGTCTGTCTGCCTGTGTGTGTGTGTGTGTGTCTCTCTCTCTCTCTCTCTCTCTCTCTCTCTCTCTCTCTCTCTTTGTTTGTCTGTCTGACTCTCTCTTTACCTCTCTCCTCTCTCCATCTCCCTCTCTCCCTCTCCATGTATGTATATATGTATACACACATGTGATAGCTTGGTGTCTGTTACCTTTAGAGTTCTGTCACTAATAAACCATGTTGTTAATAACATAGAAAAGCTGATATTATTTACTCTCTAATCAGAGTAAATGTGTGGGTGACTCTCTAATTGGTAAAACCAAATTATCTGAACTGTCATTTAAACTTAATTGTTTTTGTTACTGTTTATCTTTACCATTGTTGAGCACAATTATTTATTCAATATTATAAGATGTGATTTAAAATGGAACAAATTAGGTAAACTTTTTAAAATTATTAACCAGAATGAAATACAAAGCAAATATTTCAAGTCAGGGAAGAAAAATCACTCTTCTCTACAGAAAGTTCTGGGATAAAACTCTTTTGGTTCTTATCCCAAACAAGACTTGACAGCTAAGCAATTCAGAAAATTATTTTGTACTATTTATATACACAACAGCTTGTGCTACAGCTGAAACTCAGAAACTTACCTAAACAAGAATTGCAGATTCCTGCCCTTTACCAGAGCCTTAACTCTGACATTCATATATCATAGAACCTATAGGATAGAGAGAGTTTTTAGCTAAGTCAGATACCCCAAAACTTACTGACACTGAATGTAGGTACTTTCCCTCCACCATATCCTTACCTGAGTTTGAAAACAAAAACAGACAAAAAACACCCAAATCAAATCTCTTGTCTATTAAGTGGAAAATAAGGAGTTGTTTTATTTTTTTCATAACAGTAAGGAAGTTCAGATGAATTGAGTGCAAAGCCAAATAAACACCCAAAATCCCAACTTAGTTCTAATAAGAGCATGATCTGTAGAATTCAAAAGTTACCTGAATGAAGAGAGCTCTCCAGAGACTGCCACTTTTCTCAGCTGCTCAAAGCTAAGGACAAAAGAAGCCAATCATTAACCTTTAGCCAGCAGCAAACTTACATACATTTCTCAAGAGCCTCTGTGCCCTTCATTCTCTTTCCCTTCAGATAGGGGAAAGGTGGTAAACTTAGCTTTTTCAAGGACTTGTCCTGGCAAGTACTATTAGTACATGCTTCCACTTTGACAAACTCAAACTTAAATTATATCCTAGGCAAAGTAGGGAGGCCCATTATTTCCTTCTGTCAGTTTTAGCTACCATATTCATACTCTTTATCTTTTTTTTTTCCTTGAAGCTAATAGAGACATATCTTTAAGCAGTTTACCTGTTATATAAATGCTCTCTCAGATATTTCTAGACTCACAGAATTGAAGAATTTGGGAGACCTTGTAGTTCATTCTCTTCATTTTATCATGGAGGAAATTGAAGCCTAGAGCAATGACATAACCTTCCTAAGGTCACAAGGAAAATTGCACAGCCAAGACTGAAATCCAAATCTTCCAGTGCTGAGTCCAACATCCTTTCTACTGCTCTACTGTGAAATGTATTACAGTTCATTCATTTTCCCCCAAATAGCCTTTAAAATGTGTGTGGCAGGTTAACTCTTGGAGTATGCATGCACTAAAGAGACCAAAGTTTCAGGGCTAGTTTGCTCTGTGCCTGGATGCCTTCAAGAACAATTAGCTTCAATCCATTCCACAACATCTAATCTCTGGCATCTATGTTGCAAATGCATGACTTTGGTCACAGTGGCCTTTTATCTGTTCCTCACACATGACTCTCCATCTCCTGCCCTGGGACTCTGGTACCAGCTTGCTTCCATGCAAAGAACGCACTTTCTTCTCACCACTACTTCTGAGACTCCTCATCTTCCTTCAAGATACAGATCAAGAACTACCTTCTACATAAAGCTTTTTCTGATTTCTTCAACTACCAGTACCTTCTCTCCCAAACTATGCACACCCTATTCACATGCTACATTATATTATCTGAGTCTCACAATGATCCTTAGAGATGGGTACTATACATATTATTATACTCTTTTCAAATATGAGAAAACAGAAAGCTAAAATGTCTCATTCATTGACCACCTGGCTACTCAATGTCAGAGACAGAATTTCAACTTTGATCTTCCTTATTTGGGAATTAATTCATGATGCCATATTTCCTCCTATTATATGCTATACTCCCCCCTCCCATACAACATACTCCCTCTCCCTATAATTATAAACTCTGTAATAACCGATATTCTTTTTTTATTCTTCTTTGCATCTCTAGCACCTATTGCTCACCATACATCTACTAAGTAGGTACTTGATAAATACTTAATGAATTGAGAAACTAACATCAATAAGGACATTATGAATGGAAAAAGAGGTGATCTGGACATGTAATAAGAGGGGAGGATGGATAATCAAGGAGCAATCTAAGAGCTTCAGTGCCACCATAGATGATTTTTAAAATGGAGGGTTTATGGAAGGACAATAATGAGAATGAGAAAGCATGGAGTTGGAAGGGCTTGCGATCTAAACTGGAAGAATTTGAACCTATAACAACATCACAAGTCCTCAGAATGTAGGAAAAACATTTCTAAGTAGTTTGTACCTCTTTATCCTTCCAGTTGATCCTTGAAAGCTCAGGTATTAGTCACAGAAAAGGAGCTGATAACAAGGTGTTAAACTAGCTAAAAATGCAGCCTCATCTTCCAGAAGAAAGAAACATTTGACAAATCCTTGAGTGTTTTAGAAAGTAAACAATCAGGTATGACTACGAACCAATAATAATAGGCTGTGCCCCCAGATAACCCTTAGAAATCACTCCATGTGGAAGCAAGAGAAGAAGAGAAACCTGATTTCTTAGGACCTTTGATGAAAAAGCATAGATCTGGAAAAAGGAAGATCATGAAAAGTGATGCACACAGCATGATCAGAAGTAATTACTAGAAAGAAAGGGACCAAGCCTGAAACTTAGGCTTGATTGGCCCATTGAGCCAATGGGAATGAGGAATGTTGGTCCAGATGTGGTATGTCTAAAACCTCCATGGACTACAGACTCCAGGGCAGTGATACACTATTTTTTTCCCCCACCTTCTTAGGCTTTTTCCTGGAAACCTTAAAGCTTTCCCTCTGGTCACACGGAAAGTCTGTTTACTTTTCTTGGTTTTAGACATTTTCTCTCTCTCTCTCCCCAAATTCTTTGAAACAGTTTCCAAGGACAGAGATGTAGAAAATCATGTATACAACAAGTCTTTGGGGGAGAAGAAAAAAAATGAGTAATTGGACAACTCTGCTCACTACATATCCTCACTACTATTACGTTAGCAAAAGTTAATGTTTTCTCATTTATCGTTTGGAGGGAATTACTGACAATGAAGGTGAAGGGAATAAGCATTTATATAGTGCCTACTATGTGTCAGTAAAAGTGCTGAGCACTTTTAAAAATATTATTTCATTTGATCCTCATAACTCACTCATAGGTGCTCTTATTATTGCCACTACTTTCTTACAGTCAAGGCAAATGCGGGTTAGGCAGTTTGCCCAAGGTCATGCAGCTGGTGTTTGAGGCTGGATTTAAACTCAAGTTTTCCTAATTCCAGACCCAGCACTCTCTATCAACCATGCCATGAGCTAAACAATTAAATTTTTTAAGGTATTATTCCCAAGTCCTATGCCTCATTTCTGTCTTCTTTAATGAGATTTTGAATAGTTATTACATTGTGTCTAAGTAGGGGGAAAAACAGGAAATGATTTGTGCCAAACAATAACAACAACAACAATAAACCCTCCTGTCTAAAAAATACAAGAGTTTTTAGGACAGAAAAACCTAGGGAATGTGGTTTGTATCTTGAAGTTTTGGTCACCATTGTCAAAACTATGAAAGTTAAGTAAAAACAGAGGGAATATCCTCAGAAAAAAAGTAACCTATGATGAAAATTTCTCATACTTTTTGTCAAACTGATCACTTGCTTTTATTTTCCTAGGAAGACTATTATCTTAACAGCCATAGAATGATATGAGCCCAGAATCCATCTTCTTTTTTAAAAGATAGTATTGAGGTATGGGGTAGAGCCTAGGACTCATGGTCAACTTAAACAACTCAAGTTTTGTTTTGATTTATTTTCCCCTGATGTCATGAACTAATACTTCCTCAAATCTCTGCCAGAAAAGGGAAACTGATTGCTTCTGTTGTTACAGCTATTGATGAAAAAACAGAAGGAGGGAAATTTTTTAGTCAAATTCCCTTACAAAAAGAAACCCATCCTCAATAAACAAGTTGCCCCGTATAGAAAGCACTGAGTTTCATTTCACCAAAATGCATATGTCCAACCATTTGCAGTCATTTTCCTTTTTGCAAACAACAGAAACATTAATGGAACTGATCAACTAAAGAGGTACTTGGTAAGCACATCACCCACTTTGGAACTTCTGTGAAACAGGCTGTCATCCAGTCTCAGAAGAGAATGCTAAAGAGTTAATACAGCAAGTTTGTACAAAGAAAAGCAATTTAGCATATCTTTAGGATTAAGGATGCTAGATCCAAATCTGAGCAAATCTAATACTCTGCCATTATCCCTCTCCAGCCAGGTTTCCATAGACAAAATGAAAAACTTTGAAGGAATTATTTGGGATATTCAGGTAAATTACGTAATTAATGAAAATTAAATCAAGGCCCTTCTATAAAAAAAGGGTTGGATCAGATGTTAAGGAATTTTTAAAAAATGATGATAGAATTTTCTTTCTGACACTGACTTATGACCCTTAAATGACTTAACAAAAACCATAAAGCTTAGAATAAGGAAAGCTCATTGCTTCCCTGAGCTTTTTTATGATGTGAGCTCAAGCACGTCCCTAAAGTTCCATGGGCGGTACAGTTTCTTCATCTGTGAAATGAGATTGTACTATATGATTACTGAAGTACCATCCCTCTTTGGAATTTTATAACTTTAGGAAAAGTACTTTCGTAAACTTGGCTTGTATGTGCTTGAAACAGGAACAATAACCATTTTGACCAGGTTATATAAATTGAAGAAATATTAACATTTGCTGATGAACACATAGAGAAAATTGAGAAGAAGAAAGGTTAAATTACTTGCCCAAGGTCACAAGGTGCTGAGCTAAAGGGCTTAGATTTGAATCTATGCTTCTAACTCCAAATTAAGTTGTTTAATGACAATATGGGATATACTGCTTTATCATTATTAATGCTCCGACACTTGAATAGAACAGTAACCTCATTGTTATGAGCACACCTTCCAACAATGCAGATTATTTCCCATCCATGACTTCTCATCTAGTGTAACTTTTACTAATGATAAATACTAAATAGGAAATCTGCCCTATATACAACCGGGCTTACTCTGGAGCTCTTGATGCTATTTGTAAACCAGTGATGTAAATGAGTTGTTTATTGAATGGTTATCATTCATTGTCACTACATTACTGTACTAAGTTTTGTTCTAATTTTTTTTTAAATTCTGGTAATTTTTTTCCTGACATTTTATGCTGCTTCTCCTGTCCAGTTCTTCATTAGTAATATGTTGTCACTTATTCATGACTACTATATACCTTTCCATTGCCTTTTGGGCAACACAAAGCTTTAATTTTTGGGAGACTTAAAAATTACATTTTTCACGGCTATATTGTATCATTAATGGGAAGGGGGATAAGCATTAACACAGCACCTACTATGTCCCAGGTACTGTGCTAAGCACTTTTTACAAATATTGAAAACATTTCCAGAGAAGAGGGGGAGAGAAGTCTATTGCTGTCAGGTTTTGTCAGAGCATTGTCATTTAAAAGCAGAGAGAGGGGGGGGGGGAGAGAGAGAGAACACACTACAGATTCTTTGATAGAATTTCCCATGTCAGAAGAAGATTTATATGGAAAAATCACTCTATTCAACAAGTCACTGGGGATAAGGAGATGGAAAAAGGAGTAGTTGAACAACTCTGCTCACTCTACATCCCCACCACTTGCGTTAACAAAAGTTAACATTTTTTCCTAACCTTATGC